GAAAATAGTGCTGCCATCAATAATTGGCCTGATGAACGCTTTTTTTCCAAAAAAGACTCAACTCTTAAGAAGAACACTGCTTTTGTGAAGAAGATTGTATGCCTTTACACGTCATAACCCTCTTTTGTAGCGGAACTTAACGGAGAGTTCCAAAGAATCCCTTCTAAAGGATTTCGAGGGACTAAATTTGTCAAAGTACGTGGCAGAAGTAGCTACTGCCATAACAGAACCAAAAGTGAAAATGACAGACATTCCATTTATGCTGCGTCTTTGCTCATTAATGCACCGTCGGTATTCCGACTTTTCCAGCCTCCTTTTCGACGCCTGGAAAAAAGTATTTTCGCAGCAAAAGACGGAAAAAGTAAGATACATCATACACCTCGTGTATCTCTTACTTCAGGCTCCAAACCTGTCCAAGTTGCGTGTGGATTTGGTTTTCTTTGCTGACTCAATTACCACTGGCGTTCTACCCGAGAACGACAGTGTTCGACTTCTCGCTCTCCAACTCACTCAACTTACTAATGGGGATAAGAACTTTGTAAACATTGGTATTGTCTCTAGCTTCGTCAAGGCATGTGGAGATGACTGGGCTGGTCTCATCCCTCGGAAATACACGTTAGTATTCGCTAACGCTACTATTGTTTAGATCCCTTGCAAAGACTTACGGCGTCACTATACACCGTTCGGCATTTCTGCCGAAGGAGCGAAAGACGAAATGTCGTGGTCTATTTCATGACTATTACACAGCAGCATTGGAGCGTCTTACTAGTATGGCAAAAGAGGCGCGCCGAGTTATTGCTTCTAACCGTCACCAGATGTTTACCAAAGGCGAGGTCCACCCGGAACGTCATGAGAAGGAGGAGCAGCTAGTAGCTGCTTGTAAAAAGTTTTACGAGGCGGTATCCGTCCTTGCTGATGTTGTGGATAAGGATGCCCCACCTGCCGTGGCGACACTTCTGGCTGGTGCGTTGTGCGATGTGTCCCTTTCCGCTCCCCTTCCGTAGTCGCTACTAAGTTGCTTTTTCCTTTTAAACTAGTTGAGGAGGATGAGAACAATGGGTTGAAGGCGGAAGGTCAGCTACAAGCCTCTGAGGTAAGGTTATTTGTCGTTAATAATCATCTGGGTTTCAGTTTGGATACCTTTTTTAGCATCACATAATGGCAACCTGATGCTTTAAAAGCAAAATTCATTTTCGACATGTCTAGGTTCTTAATAATTTATGGAATCTCTTTGGATCCCAATTTGCGAACGTAAATGCCGTTTAATGGCGTTCGAACACTAAATACTTTTCCCTAGGTCGACGACTACACAAGTACATTATTTTACGAAACCTCTATTACTGTCGTGTGAAGGCGTTGATTAGTTTCAAATGAGGGATGTAGCTCTTTATTGTCGCTGGTATTTTTGTTTTGGGTGATTTATGCTCTTGTCGATGAAAGTTCGGAATATTTTTGCTGATTC